GAAGCCCCTACAGTTCTCATAGTTTTAACAAATACAGACAGTTTTTTGTCAACCACCATATTTTCTAACATAACAGCTCCTTTATGCCCCAAATCCCTTTATCTTGCTTCTTGGTAATCACTAATTTCTCCATGCCCCACCCCCTGGCAATTACTGATTTATTTCCTGTCCCTACAGTTTTACATTTTCCAGAATTTTATGCAAGTGTGATCATTCATTATGTGGCCTTTGAGGCCCTGCTTCTTTCACTGACCAAAACACCTTTGAGATTCATGCATAATATTGGGATATCAACAGTTTGTTCCTTTAATTGAGTCTGTTTGAGTATAGTAGAGATATGTGTCATTCTTCCAGTTAAAAGCCATCAGAATTGTTTCCAGTGTGGAATGAGGATGAGTAAAATTGTATAAAGATTCATGTACAGGCTTTTGTGGAAAACTTAAATTTTCATTCTTCTTTGATAAATACCTAGAAGTGGATTTCTGGCTCGTATAATAGGTGCATGTTTAGAAGAAACTGTCAAACTGTTTTCCAAAATTTACGTTCCCACTAATGACATACAGGTGTCAGCTGCTCAAATCCTCATCAGTACAATATTGTCATGTTTGTGTCTGTATGTGTATATGTGTGGGCTTTCCCAGAGGTCACCAGTGGTAAGAAACCCACCTGCCAATATAGAAGACATAAGAGATGCAGGTTCATTCCCTGGGTCAGGAAAATTCCCAGAGGAGGGCATGATAACCCACTCCAGTATTCTTGCCTGGAGAATCCCATGGGCAGAGGAGCCTGGCCACAGTCCATGGGGTCGCAGAGAGTCAGACATGATTGAGTGACTGAGCATGCATGCAGGTGTGCATGTGTATTTTGTAGCCATTCTAATAGATGCATAGTGGTGTCTGATTGGGCTTCCCTGGTGGCTCAGATGGTAAAGAATTCACCTGCAGTGTGGGACAACTGGGTAATAGGTGTCTCATAGTTTTAATCTGAATCTCCCTATTGACTAATGATGTCCATTTGTCAGGTGTGTGTCTGTGTGTATTGTAGCTATTCTAATAGGAATATAGTGGTATGTCATTGTAGTTTTAATCTGCATTTCCCTGTTGGCTAATGATGTTGAGTATGTTTTCATATACTCCTCTGTCATCTTTTATGGATTGAACTTTGTCCATTCCCCCTCCCCCCCAAAAAATTTCTAACTCCTAGAATGTGACCTTATTTGGAATTAGGGTGTTTGCAAATGATCAGCAAACCATGAGACCATTAGGGTGTGCAACATTAGGGTGGGTCAAAGACCTGAGTCTGTGAACATCAATATGACTGGTTTTTTTTTTTTTGTATGTGGACCATTATTTAAAATCTTTATTGAATCTGTAATAATATTTGCTTGTTTTATGTTCTGGTTTTTCGGTCATGAGGCATGTGAGATCTTAGTTCCCTGATCAGGCATGGAACCTACACCCCTGCATTGGAAGACAAAATCTGAACCACTGGACCTCCAGGGAAGTCCCATGACTGGTAGTCTTATAAAAATGGGGAATTTGGACCCAGGTGCCTGCACATAGAGAGAAGATAAAGGCTGAGATTGCTAAGCCAGGAAACACTGAAGGTTGCCAGCAATGCTCCAGAAGCAGGGGGAAGAACAGAACAGATTCTCCCTTGCAGTCCTCAGGAGGAACCAGCTCTACCAACACCTTGACCTTGGACTTGTAGCCTCCAGAACAGTGAGAAAGTAAAATGGTTACCCCACTTGCTTTGTTAAACTTTGTTACAGCAACTTAGCAAACTAATACACCATCTGTGTATAATCTTTAGTGAAGTAGCTGTTTAGATCTTTTATCCATTTTTCCTCTTATTGTTGAATTTTAAAAGCTCTTTATATATTCTGGATACACAGCCTTTGGAGTCTGTGTTGTAGATGAAGAAACAGGGCTCAGACAGGGAAGGCAACATATACCAGGTCACATACGTTAGTCTGTCTATGGAAGAAACTAGCGTCTTCACCCCTCTTCTGGCTCCCATCTTCCAAGGCTTGCTGACCATCAGCATCTCCTGGCCATGTTTCCTTGCTAACCACTGTACCTCCCTAATGGATTCAAGTAAAGAAGTCTTGTTGGGGATACTGGAGGTGATGGAGACACAGACCTAGCTGCCATAGAGAGCAGCTGGCAACCTGTGTGTGCAGTTGAAGGGGCAGGGGATGGTGACATTGGTGAAAATCCTAAGTCTGTGACATAAGATGAAAATCTGCATGTCCGCGTAAAACAGCACTGAGTGGAGAGAGAAGAATAGGTGAAAGTTTCTTGTTGTTGTATTGGATACTGTGACCTTCGAAAATTATGTTATCAGCACTCTTCTTAAACAGCTTTGTTTGAAATTTGCTAATTTAGGATTACCAGGTTCATCTTCCCTTTCTTTGATGAATGTTCAGAGGTCTCCTCTTCCCCTCACAGGCTACTCTCACACAGAGACTCTCAGGGAGGGCCTTGTGTGTGTCAGTCGCTCAGTCATGTCTGACTCTTTACAACCTCATGGACTGGAGCCCACTTGGCTCCTCTGTCCATGGGATTTCCCAGGCAAGAATACTGGAGAGGGTTGCCATTTCCTCCTCCAGGGGATCTTCCCGACCCAGGGATCAAACCTGCATCTCCTGCGTCTCCTGCATTGGCAGGATGATTCTTTACCAGCTGAACCACCAGGGAAGCCCCAGAGAGGGCCTTGGGTAGTTTGTACAAAAGTCTATAAATCAGATCTTTTAAGGGGCTGGGGAATGGGGATTCCCAGTCTCTGATTGCTGAACACCCCCCTCTGTTCTTCCTGCTGCCTAGTTTTTGGTTTTCTTCTTTAATCATTTTATTGTTTTAGAACAGTTTTAGGTTCACAACAAAATTGAGTGGAAAGAACAGAGAGTTAACCTGTACCTCCTGCCCCCACACTTGCACAGCCTCCCAACCTTTAATAGCCTGTGCCCAGAGGGTGTGGGTGTCACAATGGGTGGCTTAACCTTGACACAGCATGATCACCCAAAGTCCACGGTGCACATTAGTGTTCACTCTTGGCGTTGTTGTCCCTCCAGTTCTTATGAACGACAGAGCCTTTTTTTCTAATTCTGTGGTCTTATTTTCCACAACAAGGATATGCAGGGAGATAGGGAAGAGACGGGATGGGGTGGGGGTGTAATTTTCTACTGCTTTTTGTCTCCAAATGTCCCCCATTCTTCACCAGATTTATCCAAGTTTGGCTTAGTGGAAACTCATTCTAAATCTGGCAGATGGTTAAATATTACTAGTTTCCAGTGCTTTTAAAATGTTGTGTGACTGTGTGTGTGTGTGAATTATGCATACCTTAACCTAGAAAATACTTTATTAACAAGGTCTCCTCCAGAGAAAATTGGTTGAAGAAATGATTTCATGAAAATTCATTAAGTGATACTTTATTAATATTACTAGATATATATAATTCAACATAATTTCCTCTAATAAATACAAAAGTAAATGAAAACAATTTACTGCCACATAATGAAAAAGACTTTAACCAAATGTTGATGGACTTATTCTTAGTTATGGATATATGTTTTGAAACAATTCTAAGACTACAAGACTAAACTTTTGAGATAAAATAAATCATATCACCCCCAAAAACACCCAGTAAGAATTTATTTCATGGGACTCCCCTGCCAATCCAGTGGTTGGAACACCACGCTTCCCATGCAGGGGGCACGGGTTCGATCCCTGGTCTGGGAACTAAGATCTGTTCTGTCTACTTCACTTGGTGCCACCATTCCTTCCCTCCCTCCCTTCTTGGCATTGCTCTTCACACTGGAACTGTGCTCCTACTGAGCCTGGTTCTTCTGCACTGTGATTCTGGGAGTGGCAATTGGGTGCGTAATTGCCAGCGATTACCCTGAACATTTTCTTCAGAGCTGCTGGGCATACTCTAAACTTCTGCAAATGCTTTTTCCTTTTTGGAAATAGTGTCATTCAAACCACATTATTCCCCTACCCACACTCTCCATTCTCTGTAACAACTCCTAGGATGCTTGTGAAGTTTTAGAGGGGAAGACTCCTCTCAGAAGTCATACTCCTCATCAGCTCGAAGCAGGCTAGGTTATTCTACAATCCTTGCTACAGGCCAAAAGGGAGTATGGAGTAGGGAATTCTCCTAATATGAAAATGGAGGAACAGGTACAAAAAGAGATTAGGTGACTTATGAACAACCCCTGATTCTTGGTTAGCACTCTTACTTTGTGGATTTCAAGGCATCACAGGACCTGATGCTCAGAGCAAAGTTTCTGTGAGGTAGGCAGAGCAGACATTCTTTTACAGATGAAGACACTGAGACTCAAAGACAAGAGTCCCTTGCCTTGGGTAACACAGATAGAAATTAACATCATTGGAACTGTGAACTCAGGTGCTTCTATTTCCAACCCACGGAGCCTTAGATTTTGACGTTAGGGTGCCTCTTACTAACCTGAACCCTGTGAGGAGCAGTGCAGCCATCTTAACAGCCACCAATGAAAACCTGACTCAGGGAACACCTCATAGATGCCTTGAAGTCTAAGGAGAAAAATACTGTCGTCTTGAAAGAAGAATCCGTGTGTCATTTTCCGCGGTGCTCTAGAAAAGTCCTAAGGCACTTGATGAATGATAACACCTATATGAATAACCATATACTTGACATAAGTATAAACACAAGTATAAATGATAATAGATTGAAACAAGTTACCAAACAGTATGTTGGAATTAAAAATAGTTCTGATGGGAATGTACATAATTTAAGTCTCAGAAATGCATACTAAAGAACAATCTTGGTTAAAATGTTAATTCGAAATGGATTTAAAAATCCTGATTTCTTCTGACAGATTTTCTAAATTTCTTGTTTAAAAATTTAAAAAATGATTAGTTTTCACTTAAAAAAATTTTTTTTCTACTATAGAAAATTGATTTTGTCCTTGAGAAGCCAACATGCTGTAAGTCCGCTTCCTTTTAAACCTGATTTGAGAATTAGAAGGCCTTCACCGCGGGAGCGATCTTGCGGAAGAATTTATGACCTCGGGAATTTGTAGTTTCAAACAGGTAGCCAGGAGGGGAAGGGTAGCTAGCCGGGCAGGTCTCCAGTTTCTTGGGCATATACTCCAGAGAGTACATGGTGACGTCATCAAACGGAAGCGACCTCTTCAAGGGAGCGTACGCAGGTTTGCAGCTCTCGGTGGGAATTAGTTCATGGGGCACGTAGTGAGACCTGAAAGTGCTCAGGCCATCGAATTTTCCGGATGGGCTGGGGATCTGCGGCTCCTGCTTAATGAGTCCCTGACGGCAGCTTTCCCATGCTGGGAAATCATGCATCGTGGTGCTCTTTCCTTGGAAAGGAAAGTTATGATTTCTCCTACGAAAAGCGGGCCTGATGGGAAGCACACGCGTGGCCTGATGCGGGACATAGTCGAGGTGGCTGGTGCTCTGCAGCTGCATGGTGCCTGCGGGAGGGACATACTCCGCCACTTTCTGAACTTGCGGTGCTGGGAGTGCCCACGCTTGAAAACTGTCCCTGAACTCAGTGCTTCCTTCGAATGGAGCGTCCTGGGCCACTCTGGTGTGTGCAGGTCTGCAGATCTTTGCCGTTTCACCGACGAGACCCTGAAAGTCGCATCGGTGAGTTGTGAGGTCCTCCAAGGGTTGGTCGGGTGGCTTGTAGCTGTCTTTTGGCCTTGCCAGCTTGAATTCTGGCCGATGAGGCACATAATCAAGGCGATGACTTGTGTTCCCGCTAAATGGGATGGTAGAGCGTTTGACCGCTGGGCTGGGTTTACAGCTTTGTCTAGGCTTTATCTCCCGAGGGACATAGTCATCCTGAAATGTTGTTGAATTTCCAAATCTCACAGTAGGGGGATAGTAAGTTTGTTGTGGCTTGTAGAGTTCACTTTTCTGAATGTCCCAAGCTCTATAATCATCTTGAAAATTTAAAAGAGAGAGCATTTTTAAATACTGAAGGACACCACCACCTTCTAAAAATCATGACTGACTTCTCTCGTTGCCGTCCTTGCATTTCCTTTAGGTATCTCAACACCAATTAAGTAGGAAGTTCCACTGATTTCCCCTCAGATTTATTCCTTTTTTCCTTCACTTCTACTTTCCTCTTCCTATCTCCCCACTTTAATACACACAACTTTCCACTTTCAGATTCTTGTGATTTAACATGGGAATGGAACATCTGAGCCTTGACTGTTGATTGTTTTTGAAAACCAAAAAGGTTGTTTTGGGTGAAGACAGAATTTAGGAGATTAGGGTTGTGTTCCCAGGAACTGGTTGGGATTTTTGTTATAATATGCTGAAGTGTGAAACATAAAAGCTAGGGATTAACATAAAACCAAGGGCCCTACTGTGTGGGCAAGAGTGATGTGGATATTACTCCTTACTTTGGGGGGACTCCTCAAAGTAGAGAAAACTTCAGCTCCACTGTACCCCTGGAAGCCAACAGGACTCCCTGAGCAAACATACAAGGTCCAAGGTAACTTGTACTATCCCAGGAGGAACACTGGCTTCGATTTTTCCTCCTCGGGAAATGGGCTTCGGAGGTGAGGGGCCCAGACTGAATGAATGCTCTCTAAAGTGTGAGAGACTAAGTATGGAATTTAGAAATGAACATCAGGGCTGAACTTGGGATTTCATGTTAAATACCTTAATTATTCTTGTTGCAGCTCACCCCGACCATGGATGGAAAACTGAAGTGCCTATATTTTAACTGAGGTTTATTTAGGCTTTCTGTTTCTAAATGAGAAAGGGAGAAAGCTGAGAAATGCTATGGAATTGACTTCACCCCAAAATACATATCTCTAAATACCAAAAATTAATTTATAAGAGACAGAAGATAAACATGATAAAGAATTAGAGTCTAGGCTAAAGGCCATGCAGTGTTTATTGGAAAGGCAAAAATTCAAATGCTCCTTCTGTGGATACTTCTTTTGAAGAGAAAAGCTTCTCAGTCACAGGCATTTCTGCCAAAATAGCCACGTTTTTGACCAAATAATGAATACTCCCACCACCTTCAAGCTACTGATGTTTGAATGAGAGTGAATAACCTAAGAGCAGGCAATCTTTCGGATAGTAGAGACCTGGTAAGAAAAGATGATCTGGGTCATGCACGTTCTTGGTCTTGTGAACTTACATTTGAAAACAAATTCAGATACATGTGGGAGAAGAATGTGAAAGGTGCCATGAAGCAGAATTGGAGAGCTATGGTGAGCTGAAGACTTTGGAATAGACTCATAAGGAAAGTGACATGATACATAGGCAGGGAAGGCTAGACCTTGGAGGGCAATCAGAGAAGATGTGTCCAGGGGAGTGAGGATGCTGTGAGAAAAGCTGATGGCGGTGGTGGGGTGGGCAAGGGGTAGTTCTCCCTCAAGCTTCTGCTGCACGTGATAGCTTTCCAATTCCACTTCACAGGAAGCTTTACCACAAACTTGCTTTTTCTTGAGTCACCATGAAGGACTCTCTGTTGTTTGCTACCTCAAGTATAAAATTGTAGCACTACTTTTCAGTAACTAAGGAAACCAGAGGATGTTAATGGAAGGTCTATGGTTCAATATGAACATACAGGGAGACCCTTTGTTGCCAAAATGTCTACAAAAGATGTTAATTTCATAGAGAAACTAAATAGAAAAGAATACTCTCCCTTACCAAAAAAGTTTGGTTTTCAAAAAGGAAGCAAAATTTTAGAGAGACGAGATTTGATAGCAATGTATTGATTCCAGAGATCTGCAGAAAATTGGTTTGCCTCTTTTAAATATCCCTATGCTCATATGCCTGGAAATTTATTATTTTCCTATAATATTTATTAATAACACTCTAGTAATACCTTCAAAACATCATGGCCTTTATTAATATCATTGGTTCTTAGTCTCTTATGACACTTATGGAAAAAAATCAAACATAATGCCGTCTACATCTAACAATGCATCTGGTCATTTGGCAACTACAGTACTGCACTTGTTAGATAAGGGCCATTCAGTTTAGATGGGAAGTTTGCTTTCTTCTAAACAGCTTTAAGTCCATGAGGTGCTTGCATGTGTTTGCTCATCATGAACATCCAGATGCAGAGCTCCAACTCCATCCTTACACAGTGAGCTGTTCTGGGTTCCTCTTTGAGGACAAAAGTCCTCAGTGGCATATGCAGTTTCTTTCTCTTGGTAGTTGGGGCTCTGTTCTCTGCGTTGTCTTAATGGCACCAAGAATGTGGGACCAATTTTCATAAAGTCGGGGGGCTCCATCCTTTCTTTCTCAATCTACACATCATCAAACTTGTCTCACAGTTTTAATCGTACCTGTAAGTTGATGACTCCCAAACTTGAATCTCTACTGCAGACTTCCCTTGAAATCCAAACCAACATATCTATCTTCCTCCTGGACAATCTCTATTCAAATGTCCAAGAGGTAAATTGAAACTTAGTTTGCCCCAACTGAGTTCACCATCTTGCTCAGACTCATCTTCCCTAAATAACACAACAATAAAACACTATTTTGAATTTGGCATCTCATGTAAAGATTTCACCCAGTTAATTTTCTCTGCCTCACTCCCTTCTCTCTGTTTCAAGTCATTTTCAAATCCTGTTTATTTTACTTTCTAAATTATAAGTTTTTCCATCTGAGGCAATCATGCAATGAATAGCAACCTGATGAAATCCTCAAAAATAAGAATAAGGAAATATAAAAATAAATATTGTAAAATAAGGTTCTATAGGCTTTACAGCAAGATCCTTATTTCATTCTTGATATTTGTAGTTAGTGTCTTCTCTTTTTATTTTTCTCCTTGGTCATTGTGGTTAGGGTTATTCAACTTTGCAATCTTTTAACAGAATCAGCATTCCATTTCATCAATTTTCTCTTTACAGACCCATTGATTGCTGCTCTTTGTGCTTCTCTCTGGAATCATTTTCCTTCAACCTGAAGAACTTCCTTTAATTACTTTTGTAGTATGTATCTGCTACTAACACTTTTTCTCCTTTTTTTTTTCCTTCCCTAAAAACCTCTTTATTTTACATTATTTTGAAGGATATTTTCACTACATATAAAATTCTAGGATTCACTGGGTTTGAAATTCTCAATTTTTTTTCCTTTTAACATTAAAGATGTCATTCATTGTCTTCAGGCTTCTGTAGTTTCTGGTGAAGTTAAGTACATTTCTAACTTTTCTTTTGTAGATAATCTGTAGTTTTGCTCTTACTACTTCTAAGAAGTTATCTTTACTTGGTTTTCAGAAGTTTGATGATGGGACTTCCTTGGTGGCCCAGTGGTTAAGAATCTGCCTGCCAAGGCAGGGGACACAGGTTCGATCCCTGGTCCGGGAAGATCCCACATGCTGTGGAGCAACTAAGCCTGTTCACCGCAGCTACTGAGCCCGAGTGCCCCAGAACCCGTGCTCCACAGCCAGAGAAGTCACCACACCCTGCGACTACAGAGTGGCCCCCGCTTGCCTAACTTGAGAAAGCCCATGCACAGCGAGCAAGACCCAGTGCAGTTAGAAGTAAATAAACAAATAAATAAAATTTAAAAAAAAAACACAGAAGTTTGATGACAGTTGCCAGACATGGCTTTGTGTTTATTTTGCAGTTTGCTAAGCACTTGAATCTGTGGCCTGAATTCCTTCACCAATTTTGGAAATTCTTTGACCATTATCTCTTCAAATACTTCCTGATTCTTCATAGGTCTTATAAGGTTTTATTTTATGCTGGACGTTATGCATAAGAAAATCATAGAAACTAAAATCAGTGTTATTTTCAACAGAAGACAGCTCGCTCTTCCCTCTGTTGGGCAGATAGGATGTGGGGCAGACCACCTTGATCCAGTCAGGAACTGAGCAAGACTGGCGTTCAGTGACATCTTTAATTAGCCAAAGTCTTCCTCTAATTACAAATTTCTTCAGACAAGACCTGTGATGTGTTTGTAGCTTTGCCTTCATTCTAGTGGGGCTTTGTCTTCCAAGCACCTGTTCCCAAGAGAGACTGTGGGACATTTCTGTGAGCTCTTTCTAGCCCAGTCTTCTAGCCCACCATGCCCCCTCGACACTTAGCAAACACCCCACAAGGGAAACCAGCCCTGCATCTGGGGTATTTATAGATTCTAATTGTCATACCTGCCTATGTGTGAGGTTCTCCACTGATTTCCCTTCCCCCTAGAAGAGTCCCCTGCTTATGCCACCCCAATCTTCAGCCTCGCCTAGACTTGACAGATGCTTCCAGAGGAGTGAACAGTTGGCCACCTCAGCTTATCTAGGAAGGGCTCCTCCATCTCTGTAAATTTAGTTCTTTGCTTCTATTTAAAAAAAGATCTTTAAAAATTTATGTATGTTTTTAGCTGTTTCAGTGGAGGTTATGGCTTTCTGCCATCTACTATATCCTATCTGGTAGCAGAACTCAAAAAATTTTAGTGGCTAGTATAAAAATGTTAAGTTCCTCAGTCTAACAACCAAAACATCACAATCTTAACCTACATTTTTGGAATTAGACACTAATTACTCAGATCCTGAAATTCTCTGGTCCACACCATGTTCACTGAATACCCTTTTATTTTTCTGGCTTTATGACTTTTTGCTCATCTCACCCTAGCTTTTAGGACGTCCCTCCTCTTTCCATACATCAATACTTACTAGTCTCTGATGCATTCTCAGACTAGCCTGCAGTGATATCTTGTTCAGTCTAAATTTTTGAAGCACTAATTGTTTCATAATTTTCTAATGAATCATTCCCTCCTCCTTGTGATATCTCATTTATTTCTTGTGTGACTATTTAATTTTTCATGCTATATTGCTTTTTTTCCCCTCACCTGTAAAGTTTCTAAATGTCAGCAACCCTGCTCCATTCAGATCTCTATTCCTTATAGTGCCTGGCACACAGAAGAGTAATCCCTAAAAAGTATTTATCAAATCAAATACTGACCTATTTTCTTTATGTACACTTTAGTCTGAATAAGTTTCTAAACCAAGGCTGCTGGGGGCAGATAAATTTCTGTCTAAGAGTCACCAGTTCCATAGAGCCACATCTCCAGAATCTAGATGACGCCCTTCTCACCATCTTGTAGTTTTTTTGTTTTTAATCATATCCCATTTCCATCTTCCCTCTATTCTCTAACTGTTCGGTTATAGTGAGAGGCTCTTCCCATTGTGATTCCTCTTCAGCTACAGATCTGTCCTTATGGAGGGATCTACAGAGGCTGTAGTGTGGTCATCACACAGGATGGTAACATGTCCCCTTGGCCCATAGGTTTTCTTGTCTCATGCCCCCAACCTGGAAATACAAGGATAACTTTTCCTCACTAGGAAAGATCAGGAGAGGGGAGGCCAGAAGGAACCCAGGAATCCTCAACATTGGGTTGTGGGAGTAGAAGTACATGAATCTATAGGAAGCCCAGGTAATGAGAAGCCAGAACTAGTATTGGATGTGTGAGTGTGTGTGTGCATGTGTGTATGTTACATGTAAATAGTCAAGGCATCAAGATTATCAGTATTATTGTATTTTAAGTGAACTTTACGGAGAAAAAAAGAAAATCTTACTATGGTTGTTTAAAAGACCCAGTACAATCAGGAACAAGACAAGGGTGCCCACTCTCACCACTACTATTCAACATAGTTTTGGAAGTTTTGGCCACAGCAATCAGGGCAGAAAAAGAAGTAAAAGGAATCCAAATAGGAAAAGAAGAAGTGAAACTCTCGCTATTTGCAGATGACATGATCCTCTACATAGAAAGCCCTAAAGACTCTACCAGAAAATTACTAGAGCTAGTCAACGAATATAGTAAAGTTGCAGGATATAAAATTAACACACAGAAATCCCTTGCATTCCTATACACTAACAATGAGAAAACAGAAATTAAGGAAACAATACCATTCACCATTGCAACAAAAAGAATAAAATAATTAGGAGTATATCTACCTAAAGAAACAAAAGCCCTATACATAGAAAACTATAAAACACTGATGAAAGAAATCAAAGAGGACACAAACAGATGGAGAAACATATCGGGTTCATGGATTGGAAGAATCAATATTGTCAAAATGGCTATACTACCCAAAGGAATCTACAGATTCAATGCAATCCCTATCAAGCTACCAACGGTATTTATCACAGAACTAGAACAAATAATTTCACAATTTGTATGGAAATACAAAAAACCTCGAATCGCCAAAGCAATCTTGAGAAAGAAGAACTGGAGGAATCAACCTGCCTGACTTCAGACTATACTACAAAGCCACAGTCATCAAGACAGTATGGTACTGGCACAAAGACAGAAATATAGATCAATGGAACAGAATAGAAAGCCCAGAGATAAATCCACAAACCTATGGACACCTTATCTTCGACAAAGGAGGCAAGAATATACAATGGAAAAAAGACAACCTCTTTAACAAGTGGTGCTGGGAAAACTAGTCAACCACTTGTAAAAGAATGAAACTAGAACACTTTCTAACACCATACACAAAAATAAACTCAAAATGGATTAAAGATCTAAATGTAAGACCAGAAACTATAAAACTCCTAGAGGAGAACATAGGCAAAACACTCTCTGACATAAGTCACAGCAGGATCCTCTATGACCCACCTCCCAGAATATTGGAAATAAAAGCAAAAATAAACAAATGGGACCTAATGAAACTTAAAAGCTTTTGCACAACAAAGGAAACTATAAGCAAGGTGAAAGACAGCCCTCAGATTGGGAGAAAATAATAGCAAACGAAGCAACAGACAAAGGATTAATCTCAAAAGTATACAAGCAACTCCTGCAGCTCAATTCCAGAAAAATAAATGACCCAATCAAAAAATGGGCCAAAGAACTAAACAGACATTTCTCCCAAGAAGACATACAGATGGCTAACAAGCACATGAAAAGACGCTCAACATCACTCATTATCAGAGAAATGCAAATCAAAACCACAATGAGGTACCATTACACACCAGTCAGGATGGCTGCTATCCAAAAGTCTACAAGCAATAAATGCTGGAGAGGGTGTGGAGAAAAGGGAACCCTCTTACACAGTTGGTGGGAATGCAAACTAGTACAGCTGCTATGGAGAACAGTGTGGAGATTTCTTAAAAAAAACTGGAAATAGAACTGCCATATGACCCAGCAATCCCACTTCTGGGCATACACACCAAGGAAACCAGATCTGAAAGAGACACGTGCACCCCAATGTTCATCACAGCACTGTTTATAATAGCCAGGACATGGAAGCAACCTAGATGCCCATCAGCAGACGAATGGATGAGGAAGCTGTGGTACATATACACCATGGACTATTACTCAGCCATTAAAAAGAATTCATTTGAATCAGTTCTAATGAGATGGATGAAACTGGAGCCCATTATACAGAGTGAAGTAAGCCAGAAAGATAAAGACCAATACAGTATACTAACACATATATATGGAATTTAGAAAGATGGTAATGATAACCCTATATGTAAAACAGAAAAAGAGACACAGATGTAAAGAACAGACTTTTGGACTCTGTGGGAGAAGGCGAGGGTGGTATGTTTTGAGAGAACAGCATCGAAACATGTATATTATCTAGGGTGAAACAGATCACCAGCCCAGGTTGGATGCGTGAGACAAGTGCTCGGGCCTGGTGCACTGGGAAGACCCAGAGGGATCGGGTGGAGAGGGAGGTGGGAGGGGGTATCGGGATGGGGAATACATGTAAATCCATGGTTGATTCATGTCAATGTATGACAAAACCCACTACAATATTGTAAAGTAATTAGCCTCCAACTAATAAAAATAAATGGAAAATAAAATAAAAGACCCAGTACAAACATTTCACCAGTTTTATGTCAAATTATTATGTAATACATTATCTCCTATGCATAGCAATTAATGTATATCTTAGCAATTACTATATGCTATATTAATTATAAAAATATCTTTGTTCACTGTATGTGAAAATCTTTGTGAAAGTTGTTCAGTCATGACTGACTCTTTGTGACCCTATACAGTCCATGGAATTCTCTAGGCCAGAATACTGGAGTGAATAGCCTTTCCTTTCTCCAGGGGATCTTTCCAACCCAGGTCTCCCACATTGCAGGTGGATTCTTTACCAGCTGAGCGACAAGAGGAGCCCAAGAATACTGGAATGGGTAGCCTATCCCTTCTCCAGCAGATCTTCCTGACCCAGGAATTGAACCGGGGTCTCCTGCATTGCAGGCGGATTCTTTACCACTGAGCTATTAGGGAAGCCCTGATATGTTCACTGTATGTGTTGTCTTAAAAATTTGTTCCTTGTATGGTGTCTTATATGCTCATAACTTAAAAAACAAAACAAAACAAAGAACATTGTTCCTGATCTCCCTACTGAGCTGACTTATAGATCATACTATACTAATTCCATATACTGTGTTGTTTAGTCATTCAGTCTTAAAAAGAGTGACTCTCTTGTGACCCCATGGACTGTAACCCACCAGGCTCCTCTGTCCATGGGATTTCCCAGGCAAGAACACTGGAGTGGGTTGCCATTTCCTTTTCCAGGGAACATACACTTTACTTACCCATTAAACTGCTAAGAGTGATGTTTAAAGAATAAGTGTGTATTCAGTTATTATTTGTTGAAAATATAAATCATTATTGTTATTGTGGATGGCATCACTTTTATAAAAAGGTTTCATATTAGGACATAGCTATTCAGTTATATCATATATGAGTAAAAAGACTGTAAGCCTAAATATGCAATTACATTATTAACAAAAAATATAGAAATAGTATGAACTAACCAGATAGCCTATTGCTGGAAAATAAAGAACTGCCCAAAGCAACAGTTTTGTAAGACCAGATTGATTTTTGGAAAGAAACTGGTCACACATCGTCCAGCCCCTTCCTCCCTGCAGTTGGTTGCCAGCAGGGAGAAGGTATTCCATGCTGGAAGGCCAAGAGGAGCAGGTGGCCTGTGTGAGGATCCAACATTGTCTCACTGGGTGAACACGCCTGTTTTATCCTGAAGTTCAGTATCAGGGACCATCTGTTAACAGAGGTAAGTGTCATCCTCTATCCCAGCCTTTATCAGCATAAAAGGCAATATTTTGGTTCTCTCCCTGCCAACTCTTTTGGTTGGTTCAGAACCTGAATGGTGAAGAGGGTTGCTATTTATTTGACTTTCTCAAAGCCTTCAGAATGCTCAGTAGTTTCATACTGGGAAGAAAGGAGAAGTGCCAACTCAAAATGGCATAATGTGACAAATAGGACATAATGCTTGTTCAGTAGTATCCTTTGTTTTCATGGTTTGAGATAGAGAAAACTTAGTGGAACCCAGGTCTCTCAACTCTCAACCAAGCAAATGGTCTTTTTTCCTCACTATGCAATATTATTTTGACAAAAGAGAAAGTTTTCTCCTAAGCCTTGGAGACTTAAGTTTGGCAGTCTGCCAGAACTGCAATTCCATGTTGGATGTCAAAGCTAAAGGTTAAATTTTTGTTTTTTGGTACTTTAATTTTGGAGATGGCAAGTTACCTTTATAGGTTGGGACAGTGTCCAGCTTTCCTTTTTTAACTTGTTGTCTCTCCAGAGGCCGAACTATCACCACAGGATGTACTTTATAAGAATTAAAATCCCGTTTGTAGGTGGTACCAAGATCAATCACCCCCTGTTTTGGTTTATATTCTTCTGGTGCATGGCGAGGCTGTTTGTCTATTTTGTAGGGACGATAATCCGACCTGAAATATATAAGTTTGAAACATAGCCTCACAGGTTTTTTGTTTTTAACTCTTTCAATTCAGTATTAAAGTTTTCAAGTCTTCCACTAGAAAAGTCTAGAAGATATTAAAATGGTGATGGCTGGTAAACTACTTGAAAGAGATTATTGAATTCCTTTATGTCCTACCCAGTGACTAAATATCTTAAGAAAAATAAATATTAAAAAAAAATCCATTTTTCCAAACCTCTTTCCAATGAATCATTGGTTAATTGGATCTTACAGAAATAAAATGTTCCAAGAATTGAATTTTTGGTCTAACCTGGAAGGAAATCACAGGTTAAAGGTTTAAATGAATCTGAAAAAAATTTTAACTATATCCCCTGGGTCCACTTTGTCAAAACCGCTATTCATCCTATTAAAGACTCTAATGAACTGTTTGGGTGTGCTGTCTTTTTGTTGGGTCATGCTGTCTTCCTGCTCATCTTTAAATAATCAGTTAAAGGAGTCACGTACATCTGACTCTGGCCTTTAGACATCAATCATATTTATAGCATGGATGTAAGTCTTACTCATCTTCTGATCCTCTGGCAGCTCTTGCCAGGGATGAGGGTCATAGAGTATCCCGGCCACCCTGGGCATTTGATAAACATTACGTTATTGCAGACACTGAAGCTGTCTGTTGAATTGGAGAAGACCACAGACTTGGACTGATCAGACCACCTGGGCCCAAATCCTGGCTCTGTCATTCGCTACATGTATTATATTGGATAACTTCACCTGTCCCAGTTTCCTTATATATAAAATAGAACTGTAATGTCATCTACCTCATACAGGGTTGTTTTAAGGACTGACACATATATGCAGGTACAACATACACATGACTATTTTGTACACATAAAGAATGATTATTTTGATTACTACTACTAAAAGTTTTCCAAATTGCTTTCTTTTCTTTGGCATTGACTTTCTATTGATATTTCTATTGGCATTTCTTTTCTATTGGCTGTGGTCACTTATTTTATGATTTATTCAAACCGTTTTTTTTTACTAATCAGTATTTTCTGTATGTGGTCATAACCTCCCGAAAACAAAACTCACTGAATCCCTTCTCTGTTCACAATATAACTTCTTAGACTTGTTAACTCACCCCTGTCAACCCACTTCAACCTGGTTTTTCAGCACAGCCCTCTCTGGTAATTTCAAGGTCCACAGTGACTTCTGTATGGTGAAATGCATCAGACAGTCTTAGTCATCATCTTACCGGACCTCTCCAGTAGTAACTTTCATTATTGACCACTCTTTCTATTTCTGGAAATCTCTTTTTCCCTGTCTTCCTCATTATTTCTTCTCAGTCTCCTACGTCGCTTCACCCTCCTAGACTCAGTCATGAAGTGCTAGAGTTCCTCAGCACTTGGGTCTGCACACTCTCCTCTGCTCATCCCACGTTCCCTCCTGAGCACAGCTCCTCCACCTCCATAGCTGCCACCACTAACTAGATGGAAATGCCTCTCAAACTTACATCTCTGCTTAGACCACTTCTCTTAGATCCAGACCACTTTTCACAAGGCCTCTCAGATAGTCAACGGCACCTCAAAACGTACTATACCCCTAATCAAAATATTTCTCCCCAACAATTCTGGCCCCTTTTGCTTGTTCCTTTCTTGGTGAATGGCACCACCACTTCTTCAGCTGAACCATCAGGAACCTAGACCGACGCTTCATGCCTCACGGGACTGAACCCGTTGTCTTGTATGGCTCCTGCAATGGCAGGCAGGTTCCTTTATCACTGGCGCCACCTGGGAAGCCCCTTTATGCCTCACTTCCCTGTTAAATTTAGTTTATCACCACCTCCTATCAGCTTTGCCTCCTAAATCTCTCTTAAATCTAACTGCTCTTCTGTGTCTCATCCACCACCCTGGTATTCTAAGTTTTTGTAATAGCTCATCCACATCAGTTCAGTAGCTTCCTAAATTCACTCACTAGTTCTCTCTCCAATCTTTCCATACCCCCTGCCACACACACACACACACACACCCCAAAAAGAAATCCCCAGTGGCTTCTTACTGCTCTAAGGCTACAGAAGAAACTGGGCATGGCCTCTCCCACTTTAACTTTAACGAGGTGGCTTTAACTCACCTTGTGCTTCCTCTGCCCCTGCTGGCCTTCTCCTTCCTGCTTCATGCTGCTCTCTGCCTGGAAAGCACGTTCTTATTCTTAATCCAGTTAAGTGCTTTACAGCCTTCAGATTTTAAGTCATTATTCTTATTTCTCTGATAAAGTCAAGCCTCTTATTCTGGCTCTCCAGTTACCTGGTGCCTACCCTTCCTAGATTTGATCACTGTTGCAATTTTATACTCATTCTGAATGATGTTTTTGATTGCCACCTCCACTAGATTGCAGTGTCTGTAAGCATAGAGATCAGAACTATTTCTGCTCATCACTGTATCCCAGGCACCAAGCATAGCGCCTGACACTTAACAAAGGCTTGAGAAATACTTTAGAAGATGAACAACAGTAGACATCACATACCTCTGCTGCTCAAGATATCTGAGTTGTTCTTTGCTCTTCCCAAATACCAGCTAGAGAGGAACAGGCTAAAATGCAATAAGGAAGTGGAAGAATCAGGGAGAGGACAGAGAAAGCTTAGAAGTCTTAATTTCTCTAGTTAGACTGGTTACATGTTAGAAAGTGTACCTCCAAACCCAAAACAACTTTCTATGGAGACACAGTGAAGGGTAAATGCACTCTTACTCATCTGATATATCCTAAAACTTTGGACATGTCTGGACTCAGACTTTCAGGGCAGCCTTCCTGCCAACTCTGGCAGTCATTGATTCTGCTACAACTGTAATCCTCTAAAGGACCAAAAGTCCTGTACAAGTCCAGACATCTGCTCTTTATAGTCTCTTCCTACAGTACAGAAAAGTATAGAACAGAATGACACATTATTTTTCAATTGTACAGATGAATCAGCTGCTATCTGTTGCCTAGTCGACATCGTCAACATGAGGGAGTCAAGCAAGAGTTCCAAATCCCTTGAATGTGGTCCTTGGAAATACTTCTGTTGTTAGTTGCTAAGTTGTGCCCAACTTTTATGCGACCCATGGATTGCGGCCCGTCAGGCTCCTCTGTCCGTGGGATTTCCCAGGCAAGAATATTGGAGTGGGTTGCCATTTCCTTCTCCAGGGGATCTTCCTGACCCAGGGATCGAACCTGAGTCTTCTGCAAGCGGATTCTTTACCATCTGAGCCACGATACTGCTAACTCCCTAGTCAAAATACAAAGAAAAGATCTAGTGTTTTACTCAGTGGAAAGATGATTTAAGAAATGGAAGGTTTCGTTTTGTTGGCATATTTGAAACTTTATTTAGTTTTATTTTATTTTTACTATTAAGGCTACTTGAACAAGGCAATGGAGAAAACCCAGAATTGAAAAGCAATTGACTTTTTAAAAGAAACTTTATGTGGCAGGTTAAACTTTCTTCATTTTTTAGAGTTGATTAAATGCAAAATCTTTATTCAACAAATATGAATATTGTGAACTTTATTTCAAATCTCCATTATGAATCACTAAGGCATCAAGGAAGAAAGGAGTACAGGTGGAGAAAAAAAGAGCAACCTTTCCCCTTGGCTCTATCTCAACCAGCTGTTTAGTTCCTTCATCTCATTTACTATGATCTGGGATTATCTTGTTTGTCTGATTTTTGTTTGGGGACCGTTCATAGTTAAAAGACTATAAACAGTGGTGGGGAAGCCCTTCTTTCCATTCCACATCAGACCCAGTGGACAGTCCAGGACCTGCCCACTGCATTGAGTCTGTAGCAACAGAATCACCACTGATGCTGGTTAAAAATGCATATTCCTGGAATCCATTCCATTAGCTTTTGACTGTTTTAGGTGGTGGTCTGGAACCTATAACTGTAGCCTTTCTTGATAATTCCAAATCACACAAAAGTCTGAGGACTATGGAAGATCTTCACATTTCTGGAAGAGCCACACACCTACAGAAGGAACCACAAGAGTGGCCTGAAATGTTAAAGTATAAGTATTGGGCTAAAAGTTTGAAGGTCTCCACCTTTGCTATGTAAGTAAAATGATCTTCCTTTGACATGAAAATGGATAATACTAAAAGTTAACATTGTCCTAGAGCATTTTAAAAACCCTAAATTATAGAAATCTGATGTACGAGTTCCTTGAAAGCAAGAACCTGTTTATTGATATTTTTTAATGCCTTAGATTGTGCCTTGAATATAGTGTGCACATCAACAGAATAAAAAAAAGAATTGAATTGACAAAGATACAAAGAGATCAAAAGTGCTGAGCCAAGTGAAAGACTGAGGCTTAAAAGAACTTTTCTGTCTTTCATACACTGAATAAATATTGAGCACCTACTATGAGCTAGTAGGCATGTAATAGGTTTCTGGAAATAGAATGCTGAGATAAGAAGACACACAGTTCCTGCTTTCACTGAGACTAATCTAATGATAAATAATAGGCAGATATTTGAGAACTTATATAGGGGACTTTTACCTCACCAAAAACTGGGTGTCAGAGAAGGCTTTTCCGAGTAATAATTGAGTTGAGATCCATAGGTTGAGCCAATGTAAACTAGGGTAAGATACAGGAAGAATTTCAGGCAGGTAAAATAGTATCTTGGAAAGTTATGTGACAAGGGAAACTTAGTACATTCAAGAAATGAAAAATGTCCTATTGGATGTAACCAGCAGTGCAGAGGGCATTACAGTGAAAATAAATCAGAGAAGAAAGTGGCGACCAAGCAATGAAGGGATTTGGTTGTATATTAAATATGATGGGAAAATACAAGACCAGTTTTAGCAGGGAGGTGATAGATAGATAGGTGCATTTTAAAAAGGTCATCTTGCTCAACATCACTAATTATTGGAGAAACTCAAAACTACAATGATGTACAACTTCACATTAGCTAGTATGGTCATCATTAAAAAGTCTGTAAATAACAAATGCTGGAGAGGATGTGGAGAAAAGGGAACTCTCCTCTACTGTTAGTAGGAATTTAAGTTGGTATAGCCACTATGGAAATTAGTATGGAGGGTCCTCAAAAAACTAAAAATAGAACTACCATATTATTCAGCAGTCCCACTCCCAGGCATATATCCAACAAAACTACAATTCAAAAAGATATATGCACCATCCCTATGTTCACAGCAGCACTATTCACAACAGCCAAGACATGGAAACAAATGTCCAGTGACAGATGAATGGATAAAGAAGATGTGGTATATATATATACAATGGAATGCTACTCAGCCATAAAAAGGAATGAAATAATGTCATTTACAGCAACATGAGTCCAACTAAAGAGTATCATAAGTAAGTGAAGTAAGTCAGAAAGAAAAAGACAAGTGCCATATAACTTGTATGTGGAATCTAAAATATGGCAAAAATGAACCTATCTATAAAACAAAAACAGACTCACGGACATAGAGTACAGACTGGTGGTTGCCAAGGGCGTGGGGGAGGGAAAAACTGGGAGTTTCAGATTAGCAGATTGTAATCTATTTTGGATGGATAAACAACAAGGTCATATAGCACAGGGACTATATTCAAAATCCTATGATGAAAAAGAACGTTAAAAAAGCAACGTCTGTAAATGTGTAAGCAAGTCACTTTCCTGTATGGCAGAGATGGGGACAACATTGTCAATCAGCTATACTTCAGTGAAAAATAAAATTAAAAAAAGAAAAGAGTCCTCTTGGTCACCTAAAGTTAGAAAACAGATCAGAGATGCAAAAGCTGGAGTAGATACAAACATAACCCTTAGGAAGTTATTGCATTCTGGTCACAGTGGAAAGCAGACAAACACATAGATTTTAGGAGGTTAAAAAAGAAATCAACAGAACTTTTTATATTTCCCTTTTACATTCTCAGTTTTGTCATTCTAGCTTAGTTCTCATCTTTCTGTCTTTCTCAAGTTGTGACTCAACCAGTTTCTTGCATTTTAGATTGGTTCAACTTAAGTCAACTAAATAGTTTAAAGAGTTAAACTAAATAGTTTAAAGAAAACTTTATTAAAACCAGGAGAGTGGTGAAAAAATAAGTAAAGCAAATTGTTTCTTGATATTTACTTAAATGTTGTTATTCCTTCCATTTTGCCACCATATCCTCGAAATTCTTCCTTGGGCTTCAGACTCTGAGGTGGAAGAACACTGCCGTATGTAGGATATTTTTCCAAATATTCAGTTGTGGCACAAGACCCACCAGAATTTTCATAAATCCTTGTGGTTCCATGTGGGCAATGATGTCGCCTATGCAAACATAAAAAACTCATTATAGTTTAACTCACATGAGCAATTGTATGTGCACACTGTAGAGGAAAATATGATAGCAGTTTTGACTGATAAAGTGAAAGAAATAAACATTTGGAAATGTTTAGTTACATAGTAGGGGGAAAAAAAGATTAAAATAGCAAGATGAAAAAGTAACAGACAGGGGTCAAAATTTCCCAAAGGGGCCCAACAATCTTGATCCTGATAGACAGAGGCAGTGAACTGAAACATCAATGAGTTTGTTCTCTTAGAAGAGCAGGGATCTTTGCCCCACTCTATCACAGTTGTGGGTGGTGGCCAAATGTCAAGAGTTGCCTAGGTGAACCCTCCAACTCTGGCTCCTGGCTTTGCCAAGATTCTTGTACCTCCAACATACACTTGCAAGTAGGGGTGCACTACTGCTGAGAGGATTCTTGGAACTTCAGCAAGAGACATGTCAGTGGGAAGCATTACCAATGTTTAAAGCCCAGAGAAGATTCCTTGTTTTGGCAATGCCTCAGTTCCCCGGATCATTTAACTGCCTGAAGAAAAGGGAGCCTCCAACATCATGAAGACTGAAAATTCCTGACAACTGGATGGGAAAGGAACTTGGGTTGGATAGAAATGAAAGATTAGAAATAACAATTTTTGTGCACATCAGGTTTTCAAATATGAATCAAATCCTCAAATGTCGATTTACCTTTTAATCCATATTGGATTATTAATTATAAACATTTACCATGAAACTAAGGGGAAAACTGCTTTCATCAACATTCTAAATGTCTTTCCTTTGGAGGAGATTACAATACCACAGGGCTGACATATTCATAATATTCATTGAGCAAACAGTGATCTAATCCCTGGGTCAACAGGGAAGTTGAGGAAGGAGAAGACTATTTCTTAGGTGACGGGAGGTTGTCATGCAGGACTCACTGACCAATTCTAGGTTTCAGGAAATCAGATTCCAAAGGAGCACAGGCTGGATGGGCTTGGGAAAGAAAATATCGGTCAGGCAGGGGTGGGGGAAAAAGCAAGCAAGGGATAAAAGAAAGCGTAACATGGATCGAAAACTCATCGACTTGCACACCGTTCTATTCTTGTTTCCTTTTATTAATTTTTAAAATAGTGTGGGGCATACACTCTCCCAGTCGAATCAGATCCCCACTTACCAGCCTGACCTCCGGCCGCTGCTGCACAGGCATATAAATCCCACCGCTGGATGGCATTGGGAGTTTGCGCCCTGGATAGGAGCCCACAAATGCGTGCGTGCGTGCAAAGTCGTTTCAATCGTGTTTGCGACCCTATGGACTGTAGCCCGCCAGGCTCCTGTCCATGGGATTCTCCAGGCAAGAATACTGGAGTGGGTTGCTGTGCCCTCCTCCAGGGGATCTTCACAAACTAGGGATGGAACCTCGTCTCCTGGGTCTCCTACATTGGCAGGCGGGTTCTTTATCACTAGCGCCACCTGGAAAGTGCCAGGTGCCCACAAAGCAGAACTGCTTTACCCGAGATAGCTGGCCGGGTGCGCGGCCAGCATTCGGGGACCCGGGGATAAGTGGGGACGTCGCTGCGCCCGTGTCCCCGCAGCTCCGCGGGGCGGCCACTCTGAGAGCTTCGTCCCCGCCCCCTCGGCCTTAGCTCACTTCCAAGCCCGGCCGTGGCCACGCCGGCCGTTCCTTACCCGCAAGTACAAATCTGACACAGACACCAAGTCCTCATGCTCCCGGCTCCTCGGCTCCTCCAAACTCGCAACTTCCGCCGTTCCACCGCGCCCTCCGTAGTCAAGGCAACCGCGGGAGCCCAGGAGACGGACGCGGCGCCGGCTTCCGGCGGCGACAGAGACGCGCGCGGGTCAAAGGTCGTGCGTCGCTAGCCCCGCCCCCGGCGCGCGGGCATTCGGGAGACACCTGGTTGTGTGCGCCTGCGACGTGCGTGGTGTGGTCTGCGCCGGGGTCCGAGCGGGACTGATTGGGCGGCGGGAGCCGGTGAGTGCGGGCCAGCAGAGCGCTGGGCGTCCTCCTCTGGGCAGCTCCAGGCGGTGGGGGGACCCGGGGCGCCTCGGCGGCGGGGCGGGGCCGGGGGCGAACCCGGGATGGGAGCGGCTGCCGCCCGAGGTTAAGTGTCCTCTCGCGCTCCACTGCTTTTCATTGTGGACCCGGAGTCCTCAAAGAAGAAGGGAGTGATGAAGAAGAGAAGGTGGAGATCATCAGGGTTTATTTTTTCTTTTCCCCAATGTGGGAAGGAATGAAAGAGGTTCATTGCACCTGCTCAGCAATTAAGCACGTGACCCAAAACTTTATTCGGTCTCCGTAGCAGACATCAAGCTGAATGTTTCCCCTCCAGTGAAAGCAAGCGAGAGTGATAGGAGGAGGGACTTGGAAAAAGATCGAGGAGCGGAAGGAGAGATGCCAGCATCTTCTCTCCTGCTTACGACCCTTACGATTCGTAATCACTGACCTGGAGAAATTCACCCCTGTACAGAGTACAGGGCAGAGTTTCTAGTGTCACTGGGCACCCAGCCATAAGGAACTCTGTGATTCATCGCAGATCCGGAAGGATGAGTAAAATCCACAGTCGTAGTACATACAGTAGTTGCTGAAGTGCTCAATTGGACTTAGGTCTGGGTGGGTATCTGCCTTTAAGCGGTTCGTTGGGTTTTTACTTGAAGGAACGTGAGAAATCTTGTCAGTTCCCAATATTAAAAACCCTTTTTTATTGTCCGGATCTTTAGTCATTTGTAATACGTCTTTAATTTTTAGTCACAGGAAATAAGAGACCATGGTGCTCAATAGTTTGGATAAGATGATTCAACTCCAGAAAAATACTGCTAACATTCGGAATATCTGTGTTTTGGCTCACGTAGACCATGGTAAGAGCCCTTTCTAAATAGCTTGTTTTCAGTTCAGTAATTAAAGTAATTAAGCTTGTTTTCAGTAATGACACACGTGTCATTGGAGTGATGCTAAGTTGGAAGTCTTTTTTTTTTTTTAAGTTTGATGTGGTAGAGCACAGCCAACTGGGGATTGGTGTTCTATATAGTATACTGTGTTTTTAAATGAGAAGTTGAGTTTTTGTTAAGCTATCAAGTATTTTTGAAATGGCTTTCTAATATAACACATCTGTAGTCTTAACATAATGTTCTCAGAACCTGTGTTCTAAGTTCAGGGTTCTTTGCCCACTATGTCAGACGGTAGAAATTTATGAACAGGGCACCCCCTCAGCTGTAGAGGTGATTTGTGGGTTGAGGCAACACAGAGTGAGACAGGCAAAAAGTAGATGATAAGGGTTGAGAGAGCTGGAGAGTCAGGAAGCTAGGAATGGGTTAAGAAAAAAAAAGGCTTTATAGCATAATTAGTATTAGAGATGAACCCTGAAGGGTGATTCAAGATGGCAGATGGGGACACTCATTTCAAGTGGGAATAGTGTCAGAAAGGGAGAAAGAAATGTATGTGACCAGAGCCTGGGACACAAGAGGGCAAGGTGGGCTGATCCGTGGTGCTTAGCTCCCCACAGACGTTGCTTTCATGCCACAGCATCGCCTCCTGCTAAGCCTGCTCTTGGTTTCAAACTGCTTTTTGTTCACTCAGTCACAGCAAAGATAGGAGGTGAGAGTGTGAAACAAAACCTATATACCATCCTGAAAGTGAGGGAGGAGGAGATAAAAGCGAAGAGACAGGCTATGCTGTATCTTAAACACCCCTTCCTGCCAGCAAAGCACTAGGATAAGAGTTGTTGTTTAGTCGCTCAGTCGTATCTGACTCTGCAACCCCTGGACTGTAGCCCGCCAGGCTCCTCTGTTCTTGGGATTCTCCAGGCAGTAATACTGAAGTGGATTGCCATTTCCTTCTCCAGAGGAGCTTCCCCACCCCCCAGGGATTGAACTCACATCTCCTGTATTGGCAGGCAGAGGCTTTACCACCGCACCACCAGGGAAGCCCCTGTGTAAAGTATGCCTCAATAAAAAAAGTTATTGGACAGCTTTTAAAGTGAGGTTGATCCACAGGGTTGGAGATACAGATTATAGCACTATGGAGTGCTAGAATCTTTGCCCTTCCAGACAGTGCACTGTTCAAAACTCTAGTTAAAATGCTCATTGTGTCTTCTTTCACTTACTGTGGGTAAATAGGAAATACTTGGTAAAGCAATTCTTATGGTTAAATGTTAAATATGTAGATGCAATTTACCTACCTCCCCCTTTAAGAAAAGAAGTCTATTTAAATTAATATTGTTACTTTAACAGGAAAAACTACCCTGGCTGACTGTCTTATATCTAGCAATGGAATCATCTCCAGCCGCCTGGCAGGCAAGGTATGTTATATTTGATACATATTTGCATTTCAGTAAGTATTAGCAAATCTACAATGCGATGAAGCATTTGTTGTGTTCATAAAGACCCCAAAAGTATAGAGCATACTTCGTGCATCTAAGAGACTGGCAGTCCATTTAGCAAGATAAAATAGATTGTTGACAAGAAATTATTTCTGTGTTGCTTTTATATTAGTTTATATTAATATTTTATAAGTGCAAGAATGAGCTTTTGCAGCAAGTCAAATGATAACCTGGCACAATTGTGGAAGATTTCACAGGTGGAATAGATGCTTCACAGCAGGAAATTATGTGGATAAAATGGTTAAGGCTAACTTGTCGGTTGCACTTTATTTGAGTGGAACATTTGCCTAGCAATTACTGAGAAAGGAAAATGTGCTGGTACAAAAAAATGTGTCAGATTATGATGATCTTGAAGGCTAACCTGAGTACAAAAAGAAGGCTTCTGAAGTATGAGGGTCGTGAGGAAAATCGTGTTTTAGGAAATGAAATGAAAAAGACCTTTGTTTCTACTTGTGAATTGAAAGGACTTGGAATGATTTATTTGTAGTAGAAAAATAGAGATATTCCTTCCTTCAGTGAATTTAAGATACAGTCAGCAGGATTTATCCAGTGATTGGTAATACAGAGAAGAGGAGATGGAGAAGCAAAATTGAATTTGAAAAGTAGACCTGAGATACTAAAGGAAGAATGGGGCAGGTCGGGTCCCCAGGAAATTGGCCCAAGATACTGTCTGAGTGAGTGAGTGAAGTTGCTCAGTCTTGTCCGACTCTTCGTGACCCCATTGACTGCATGGTCTACCAGGCTCCTCTGTCCATGGGATTTTCCAGGCAAGAGTACTGGAGTGGGTGGCCATTTCCTTTTCCAGGGGATCTTCCCAACCCAGGGATCGAACCCAGGTCTCCTGCGTTGTAGACAGACGCTTTCTGTCTGAGCCACCAGGGAAGTCCTGTCTAGAGGAGGCTTAAAAAACTGGGTGGAATAAAGTGATAAAGGGTTTTTATTTTTCCTATTTGAGAAGTTAGAACAAGTACAATAACTCTACTGTAAGTAGATGAAATAATAAAGCATAAGTTAATGAAGCAGAAAAGATCAAAGAAGCCAAATTTGTTCTTCAAAAGATTCGTACAACTAGCAAATATGATACAGTAATGATGGACACATCATTATACATTTAAAGAGTGAATCCTAATGTAAAGTATAGACCTTAATTGATAGTAACGTATTGATAGTGGTTCATTGATTGTAATGTACCACACTGCATACAATGTAAGATGTAAATAACAGGGAGGGAACTATGTGTAGAATCACTTAGGAACCTCTTTACTTTCCAATTTTTCTAGAAACTTAAAATTGCTCTAAAAAGAAAGTCTTATTAATTTAAAAAGAATTACTAGCAGTGTAGACATTGTATGATTATCCTGTGTTACAACTGATAAATATCTAGAAACTGATCAAGGAAAAAGGAAAGGAGAAAGAACTACATGATACTAGGCAAGAAAAATGCTGCAGAGATTTAAAAGGTAATAATAGTGGGACCTAATGAACAACTTCACAGCAATAATAAGCCTAAAAATTTAAATATTGAAAACAAAAGTCCACATCAGTTCGTTTTAACGTTAAGGTTGCGTTTTTGCAGTTGAGGTACATGGACAGCAGAGAAGACGAGCAGGTCCGAGGGATCACTATGAAATCCAGTGCCATCTCTCTGCATTACACGGAAGGTACGTCGGTCTGCGTTTTACAGAACAGTGGTTTCGTATCTTTTGTGTCTTCCTTTCTCTTTCCAAATCAGTTTCACACCTCAGGTTTTTTTTTGCTTTGCCTTCCACAAACTTCATTCTGGCCTTTCCAGATGATCACTTTTCAGATCAGAGTCAGGCTATCCATACTTGGGTACAGGTGGGGGCCTCTGACTGGCTTGAGGGCAGAATCACTGGCAGTTCACACCTGCCCCTGTCCACCCAGGTGCTTGTGGAGATATCTTCTCTGGGAAGGTCTGGAGTCATAGGACCCTGGCTCAGTCTTATCGTCCCATTTCCTTGCTGGGTCCTTGTTCTGTCCTCTGGCCTGCCTGTTAGATCTAGAGTCTTATTTACTTGACTCTGCATTTCCATAGTCACTGTAACTTTTATCCGCAGATCAGGATGCTACTCTGACAGTAATACTTTTAGGGATTTGTCTGACAGACATAGTCATACAAGCTTGTGAGATATAAGTTCATTGATATTCACCCTAATGTCTGTATCAATGAAAAGAATGCCTTAGTGTCTTTGGAAAATAGTTAAGTAGACTGATACATCCATGCTGTGACATGCTCTGCAGCTCTTCCAACAACTGTGTGATTATATAGAAAAGATAAAGTCAGAGACAAAAAGCAAGTTGCAAAGTAA